AAAATAGGTTTGCTGGCTAGGCATGGTGGCTCACACCTGTAATCCCAGCACTTTGGGAGGCCGAGGCAGGTGGATCACCTGAGTTCGGGAGTTGGAGACCAGCCTAGCCAACATGAAGAAACCCCATCTCTAGTTAAAAAAAAAAAAAAATTAGCTAAGCATGGTGGTGGATGCCTGTAATCCCAGCTACTCAGGAGACTGAGACAGGGGAATCACTTGAACCCAGGAGGCGGAGGTTGCAGTGAGCCGAGATGGCACCATTACACTCCCACCTGGGCAACAAGAGCAAAACTCCGTCTCAAAAAAGAAAAAAAAAATAGGATTACCATATGACCCAACAATACTACATTTTTTTGAGATGGAGTTTTGCTCTTGTTGCAAAGGTTAGAGTGCAATGGTGCAATCTCAGCTCACTGCAACCTCTGCCTCCCAGGTTCAAGCAATTCTCCTACCTCAGCCTTCTGAGTAGCTGGGATGACAGGCGCCTGCCACCATACTTGGCTAATTTTATATTTTTAGTAGAGATGGGGTTTCACCATGTTGGCCAGGCTGGTCTCAAACTCTTAACCTCATGTGATCCACCTCAGCCTCCCAAAGTGCTAGGATTACAGGCCTGAGCCACTATGCCTGGCCAATACTACTTCTTAATATATACCCAAAGGAACTAAAAGCAAGAGAGAGCTTGAGGAGACACTTACACATCCATATTCAATGCAGCACTGTTCACAACAGCTAAGAGGTGGAAGCAAGCCAAATGACCATCAATGGATGAATGGATGAGCAAAATGTGGGATATACATATAATGGAATATTATTTAGTCTTAAAAATTAAAGAAATCCTGTCACATGCTATAATGTGGATGAAACTTGAAGACATGCAAAGTGAAACAAATCAGTCAGAAAAAGGCAAATACAGTATAATTCCACTTATATGGGGTATCTAAAGATTCCAACTCATAGAAACAAAGTAAAATGATAATTCCCAGGTACTGGGGGATGGGGGCCAGTTTTTACTCAGTGGGTATTGAGCCCCCATTCTGAAAGCTAAAAACATTCTAGAGATCTGTGGCACCACAGTGTGACAGTGCTTAACATACTGAGCGGTACACTTAAGAAAAGTTAAGATGGTAAAAATTTATTATGTGTTTTTTACCACAATTTTTAAAATGTACAAAAAAACCCAAAAAGCAAACAAGCAAAAAACCTCATTGCAAGATTACCATAAACCCACCAGAATGGAAAGGTAGACAGTGGCAGCTGCTGGTGAGGATATGCAACGACTGAGTCCTCTCTGCTATTTATTCTAATTTTTTTGTAAAGCTTACTTCTCTATGGATCTCACACATTACTAGTGGGAGTGTCAACTGGGTACTTACTTTGGAAAATTGTCATTATTTAGCAAACATAAGCATATTGCTACTTTGTTATCCAGCATTTCCACTCCTGGGTTTCCAAGTGCAGGCATCCATCAAAAGACACAGACGTAATGTTCATAATAGCTTTTTCATAATAGCTCCAGACTGAAAACAACCCTAAAGTCCACCAAGAGCCAAACGGGTTAAATACATTGTAACATAGTCATACAATTAATATGATGCAATAATAAAATGAATGAACTACTGCTATATACAACACCATGGATGAGTTCCACACAAGTAATATTGAGCAGATGAGGCCAAACAGAAAAATACATACTCATGTTTATATGAAGTTGAAGGATTAGACAAAACTAATCTATGGTGATAGAAAGCAGAATAATTGTTAGGAGGTATGGAGGGATTGGCCAGAGGGCTACTGATTGGAAGGAGTTACAAGGGGACCTTCTGGTAAGCTGGAAACAACTTTAATTAGGTGGTGGTTACACAGATGGGTATCTATGCAAAAATATACTGAGACAGAGGTTTAATGTTAGTTTCTTCACTGCATGTATACTATGTGCCAATAAAAAGTGAAGAAAAAGTAGAAAAATAGGCCCAAATAGAAAAATTTTGGAAGCAAAATTTAGTTTTGTCATATTTCTATATTCATGTTTAAGGGGATATATCATAAAATTCCCATTTGGATGTATTTTTCTCTTAGTAATTCAAGCTCAACAGAACCTGCAAATGGGAGGAGGCTGCAGAAGCCAAGCATAAGAAGACACATCATGGCTGCGAGCCGTGGCTCACGCCGGTAATCCTACCACTTTGGGAGACCAAGGCAGGTGGATCACCTGAGATCAGGAGTTCGAGACTATCCTGGCCAACATGGTGAACCCTCGTCTGTACTAAAAATACAAAAATTAGATGGGTGTGGTGGCACACACCTGCGGTCCCAGCTACTCTGGAGGCTGAGGCAGGAGAGTTGCTTAATCTCAGGAGGCAGAGGGTGCAGTGAGCAGAGATTGCGCCATTACACTCCAGCCTGGGCAACAGAGCGAGACTCCACCACACACACAAAAAAGACATATCCATCCTAAATGTGTTACACACCTAATAACAGCTTCAAAAATACGTGAAGCTCCAAAAATAATATAATAGAAAGGAGAACTAGACAAATCCATAATTACAGAGATATTTCAACACTTCTCAAGTGGTAAAATCACTTGTAAAATCACTCTGCCCATTTTACAGAGGAAAAAAACTGAGGCCTAAAAAGGAGTAGGGGTGGGGGCTGAAGTCCCACAAGTCAGTTGTAGACCCAGGCTTAAGACACAAATCCCAGGCACGCCTCTACCTGCTCCCTGGACAACCACCTGCAGGAAGTGACTGGATTTTGTGGAGGGGGAGCGAGGGGGGGTGTCCCCAGTCCCATGCAGGCTGAGGAGGGAGCAGGGTCTCAGGGCTGAGGTCAGGCAGGGGGGCCACTCCTTAGAGATCAGCCAGCCAGGAGTGCCACTGTTTGTCATAGTTTCACTGATTGTAGGGAGATTGGAACCTCTATTTGGGTCACAGAAATAAACAGAAGAGCCTGCAGTTCCGGGATAACACGCTAATGACCCTAAGGGCCAAAACGCAAAGGCGTCCCGAGGGCTAGGACGGAAAGTGAAACTTTCAAGCTCCTTCTCTGACCTTCGCCAAGGTCGTTCCCTCTGGGTTCACAGAATAGGGAGGAACCCATGTAAGGCCCAGCGAACAGAAGAAAGGAGGCAGGTAGGGGGACAGCCCTCAGCCTAGTGCAGCTATTCGGGTGGGACAACCCCTGGAAGGAGCCGCTAGGTCTCCGAGGACGGCAGGAAGTCGCGGGGCTGCTGCTGGGCCGGAGGTGGGCGGGGGTCCGGCGCTCTCATTCTCCGGATTCGGAGCCCTGCACGTGGATCAGTCGCCTCCCGCCCAGGGTGTGAGCGCCCCCTCCCCTTCTCAGCCTCCTTCGGCCTCTTCCCTCCCTCTCACATTTCCAACTCCCAAGGATAACTTGTCGCTCGCTTCAGACGCCCATGGCTTCTTTCAGTCCCTGGGATTGGGCTTTCTCTTCTGTCTCTTTTGTCTATTTCTGCATTTGATGGCTTCTCTGGGTGCGCCCTTGGATCTGCTGCTCTCTTGCCTGATATTCTCTCTCTGTCTCTCTCTCTCTCTCTCTCTGCTCTCTTTCTCTCTCTCCTCTTTCTCGATCTCTTCTCCCTCTCTCCCCTCTCTGGCCATCTGGGCGCGCTCCTCCGCGCCTCTAGCCTTTCCACCGCGCTCCAGGCCCATCCCCGCACCAGCCTCTCTGGGATCCGACGGCGACGCGGGTGTAGGCAGGTGAGTCGGCCGAGCCCCGCCCGGGCAGACGCGGAGGCAGGAAGCGCTCGCGCCAATCCCTCTCCTGAACCCTGCCCTCACCCCCCACTCACCGGCGCCAGGAGTACGCAGGACGCGTGAGCCCCTTCGCGCCCCCAGCGCCGTCGGCGTCGCTGCCCCAGACAAACACTGCCCCGAGAGGCCTCACAGAGGCGGAGGCTGGGGGCGGCGACCCGGAGCCGCCTCAGCCCTTGCCTTGGGCGCCGTCACCTCAGTCCCCAGAAGCCCTGGGTTCCTGCAGTCTACGAAAATGCGGAGGACAGCGTGGTTCCGAGAGGTAGGTGAGGCGGGCGCAGCCCTTCCTCTCGCAGCTGGGGGTCCCCTATAAGCTGGGCAGCCCCGTGGCCCGAGCTTTCGGGACCGACCGGCCGTGGCAGGCGCGGGCTACTCCGGGCCACCGGCTTAACCTTGATCTCCAGACCGATCCAGCTTCCCAGGTGGGGCCTCCCTGTCCGCTCGCACCCGACCCTACCTCTCCACGAGAAGGTGTGTGTATGGGGGAAGGGGGTCGCCCCCTCTCATTCTACCGGAAACCCTGGCTCCCCAGAGCCGATGCGCAGTGCCCCGCCCAGCCTGAGGCCCTCCTGGGCCCCCTGCTCACAGCCCCGGATTCCAGGCGGTTGCGGTGAGAGAGGCGAGGGCCTGCTGCAGTGAGCGGCCTTGGGGGTGGGGAATCGCTTGGGAAGGAAGAAAGGCCACTTTTCCTGATGGAAATTAGAAATTGGCCTGGAACTCTTGGTATAGACGGAAGCCCCCAGGTCCCCAAGGTGCAGAATCAGCTCTCCTGCGCGCTCTCTCTAGCTGCCTGCTGGCGTGGAGGGGGAGTCTCTTGCTTTGGCCTTTGGGGGCCGCACAGGTTTTCTTCCCTTCTGGACTGCAAGCAGCCTCCTGCCTGGGACAGCGAGTATCTGAATCTAAGGAATGCCAGGCACCGCCATCTTATTTGAAACTCACACTCACAAAAACGCGGCATGTGCATTTTTGTGGAGGGGACTGTTGTTTCTGGGAGTGGGCAGTGGGCATCCAAAGGATTTCAAACTGTATGGACTGACTCATGGGTCAATACAAAAATTATTCGCTTTTGAAAAGGCATGTAGAGAGAGGCAAGCATAAAGGGGTGTGCATCGTGCATCGTGGTATTGTGGAGTCTGGGAGGAATTAGTAACCCTCAGGAATCAACTAGGAATCTTATATGACAGCAACTGCGCCTCTCGGAGTAGTTAAGCCCCGTTTAAAGATTGAGGATTTATACAGACATGCGAAAAAGACATGAAATTATGTGCTCCCAATTGTGCTCAATAATAAAGGTAGCAGAAGGGAAATTCGCATTTTCACCTATATGCCTCCCCCTCCCAAAGTAGAACATTGCATGGTATATTTCATATATTCCACATGCCAGATGCAGAATGTGCAACTGACTGCCCAGCACTGTGCTTTCCAGTACAAATGGAAGCACAAAGATGCCTTAATGCAGAGGACTTGAGTGAAAGTTCTCTTTTGTCAGTGCGCTTCCCTAACCCTTTGAGGAAGCAAGTCCCGGGCCTTTCCTAATATGATCTTCCCTCCAAATCCCCTTTTGGAGCTGCAGCTCATCTCTTTCCCTAAAGTCTGGTGCACTTGGCTCCAAGTCTAGAGAGGCCTCCCCATTTCCCTAGTCCAGAAGGGATGAAGCCTCCTCCACCCCCAAACATACAGCCCTTGGCTCCATGCGAGGAGAACTGCTCACCTTCTGCCATGGTTTAGAACACCACCCTACACAGGCATACACATACACACTGCCCCAGAAGAAATGCAAGGAAAGGCTTTGTTAGCCCCAGCAAGTTATTGTGGGAGACCCCAGAGACCCTTAGAAAGAGCCTCACTCTCTCACACTGCAACTTGAAAGACCCAGGACATTCCTCCCACCCCCACAACACTCAGGGTTCTCACCACCTCAGAAGGCACTGAGTCCGTGAAGACAGGAGGATCTGTTGGGTTGGGAACTTCACATCCCACTCACGGTGACTCCAACTTCTTTTTTGCTGGTGGGATTGAACGTCAAGCTTAAAGTGCTGTTGGGCTAGAGAGTTTGCTTATTTTAGTCTATTGGTTCCTCTCCCTTATTTTCTTCTCCCTCATCTCCCTTTTACTCCCAGGTTTTGCCCTTTTTTCTCTCTCTCTCCAAACAAGAAATCTGTGAGTCTTCTGGGCTTGGAGGGTAGGAATGAGGAGGGAAAGGAGAGAATATTTGACCCATCCAGGCAGCACCCAGAACTGTAATTCACAGCAAGCCATCCTGGTAGACCTTGTCCTCACAGGCTCAGAGAGTATTTGAATCCACAACCTCCCACCAGCATCCCAAGATCCAATGGTACCTCCTTCCTTAATAGGGACTAAGGATTTGGGGCTTCTGCAGTTTTCAAAAGTAGAAAAAGACAAAAGTGCCACCATTGGCCAGGCGCGGTGGCCCACGCCTGTAATCCCAGCACTTTGGGAGGCCAAAGCGGGTGGATCACAAGGTCAGGAGCTCTAGACCAGCCTGACCAACATGGTGAAACCCTGCTTCTACTAAAAATACAAAAATTAGCCAGGAATGGTGCTGGGCACCTGTAATCCCAGCTACTCAGGATGCTGAGGCAGGAGAATCACTTGAATCTAAGAGGCGGAGGTCGCAGTGAGCCGAGACCATGCCATTGCACTCCAGCCTGGGTGACAGAGCAAGACTCCATT